AAGCGTGATTAGAATTGGACACACGGACACGATTAGACTACCGCGAATATTACGAGGTACGATTGCCGTTCAGCCTCAAGTGTTACGAGCTCAATTGTATACTGTCCGTCAGATTCCCAGTGTACTTTTGGCAACTCTGTGCTACGCCTTTTGGTTATCATTCTTCCAAATCGGGTCCCCACACATTTCGCCCCAGATTTGGCCTCTTGTGTGGCTAGGATTCTGCGGGCTTATGGTACTCCAACCACTGCCATTATTCTACAGACCTTCGCGTTACTGGCTCGTGAAGATTGTTAGCAAGCTCGCCATATCTGGTACTCGTCGCGTCGAATTCGCAGATTTCTGGATGGGGTGAGTTTCCTACTCTTGCATTGAGAGTATCAAAGTAACTTCTTTATTCTCAGTGACCAACTTTGCAGCCTTGTATTCTCTCTCTCCAATCTTTACTTTTTCGCGTGTGTGTATGCCCGCGGCTTCGACGAGGATTGGACCAAATGTGGAGTTGCTGGGTCTCCTCACTGGCCTGTAATTTTTGTGCTGGCTTCGCTCCCCCTGTTATGTCGCTTGGTCCAGAGCGTGAAGCGTTATCACGATTCTGGTCTAGTGACCCATCTAATCAATGTTCGTTGCCTCCTGGTCATCACCACTGTACATCTGAAAGAGCTGTTTTGGTAGGGTGGAAAATACGGTTCTGGTATTGTCAGCAACTTGTTCTTCTACTTATGGCGTCAGCGCGGTGCGTTCCCTTCTTTAATTCCTTTTGAAAGCTCACCAGGATTGGTTCAGCTTCTCACGACCCCGATTCTATTTTTGCACTGTGGATTCTCTTCAGTGCGGTCTATTCAATCTATGCCTCCACATGGGTGTGTCCGGTCAATCTGTTCATATTTCATGCCTCACAAGTCACTATAGGACTTCCTTATGGATTGGTCCATCCTTCGCCTACATGCCCAATACCCTCTCCTCCGCCAGGAACTAATCTACACTGACGCAATCCCTGTACGCCTCACCAATTTACTGGTGATGCTCACTAACACCTCGTTGAACAGTCTTACTACTTTGCCATCGTACGCACCTGTGCTCGACGCCTTAGGCTCATACTCATCGACCTCAGATAACTAACGTCTTGATTCGTTTCATTTGGGTGATCTACATCCCGACTAATGGCCCGAGTATGTATCTCCGTACATTCATCGGCGCCTTGTTGGAGTTGTTCCGTAGGTGGCAATGGAATTTCTGTAAGTCGTCATCAAGCTGTGTATAGTCATGCTCACATCTGGTTCTTCAGTTCGTCTTGAGAATGAACACCTGGGTAACATGGATCAATACCGCATCACTCACGAGGTTCCACTTCCTTATTCATTTGACGATGCCCATGCCGAGAACGCGGACGACGGTGACGATGATGACGACGACGACAAGACGCTGAAGGTTGCTGCGACGCGCAAACAGAATAGACCCCAGCCTCGAGCTAAGATGGCTCTTGTTGGGCACAAAACAAAAAAGGAGAAGTCTGGCTGAGAATATCTTGGTCTGTCAAGACAATTTTATACTTGATTAACAGGGCACTCACTATCTACACATTATTCATGTACGTAACATAACTATCGGAAGGTTCTAAAACTACACATATATAGGACGTCACTGCTAGTTTACACGTCTTTACAGCATTCTTCCGTTGGATTGATATTCGTGGGTGTGCTCATAAATCATATGACCGCAGAGGGGCATGAAGACAAGACCGATGAGGTATATGAAAACTGCGGCAGGTTTATCAGTATACTGTCACCGATGAGAGAATGGCAACGAACGTAAAATCCAAATCGAGCAAGCCAGGCTCAGGCCTGCATAGAACTCGTGGCACCAGTGTACTTCGCTAGCTGCGAGGAAGTGAGTACTGGCAGGGGTGTAACTGCATACTAAATCGCACATGGAATAGACTGGCATCCAAGAGGGAACAGATCCATCCCACGAGGAAGCGCGAACGCAGTGGAAATGATCCAGAGAACCCAAAACAGTCCTGGAGAGTTCAGAATTAGCCGCAAAAACTACGCAGTAAGATGGAATATATTACCAATGATGGAAATATTCCGCCAGACGGCGGCATAGTCTTTGCGGGTGCTAAAGTATCTGGGGAGCAACGTCTGAGAATTAGCTTGACAAGGCTGTTCTCGAGACTTACATCAGAGGGAAAACAATGATTGTCAACAGAGAAATAAGCAATCCTGCTATTTCAAAATCGTACGCCGGCAGATTCTCTGCAAGAGTATGATGGGTCAAGTGGGCAGTCAGCCCAAGGACAACTGAGGCGCAGGCGAAAGAGATCCCTGAGGATGAGCGAAGATGCAACAGGGTTAGACAAAGACTTCATGTGCGACGCGAGTATGGAAACTCACCGAGAAGAGTGTTTCTGAATGCTCTATGGAAGGACATGGTACGGATGAAGAGTGACTCCCGCAAGTGGGGCTGGATTGAAGATATATGTAGTCTGGCGGACAATGGCGTCTTTGTAAGAGGTATATTATGCTCAGCTAACTCGTCGTGCAGTGGCCCATGACCACCAATGCCGTAAGGGGTTGATAATATGTACTTTTAAGACAGTCTGCTTGTCAGATATCACAGCCCTGTATGACTCGCAGCGCACAGCTTCTCGGCACCTTCAGCTCGAAGTGGCTCTGTGGCAATGGGCATCGGCATGCACACAAGTCAACCGTGGTTGAACCTGCTGTGTGGACAATGGAATGAATCCTTTGTTCTATGAGTCAGGAAAGCAGAATCGAGTGTCGCTTCCAAGGATGGCGACACGAGAGAAAGCACTGGTACTGAAGACTCGATTCTTGAAGGCCAAATGTGTTGCATTTGTGTATGAAGGTATTTTTCGCAAAAAATGCCTGATTCAAGCGTTTTCTGCGGGCTGTGGTTAGTGATCCTTGTTTTTGGGCGGGTTGTGAGTTCAGGTTCAAGTTTTGACCTCATTTTGAGTTTTTGTAATGAGTTTCCTGTTCCCGAGTTCGAGGTTATATATTATGTAATCATCAGGATATGCCCAAATTCGTCAGTTCTATACGTCATAAGTAGTCCATGGGCATCTGAGAAGATACATATTAATATGTTGCATTAGTTATATTTGTGAGTACATGCCCTTCTGAACACTCGTACTTGGTGACAACAGAAGGAGATTCAAGAACAAGAATTAAACAAGAAACCTGAGGACAAATAAACGGGAGGAGCAATAGGCGTGGGAAAGTGAAATTTCTTATGTAAGTTACTGGCTATTGAGCCTTTCTACTAGTAGTACCAGACAAGTACCAGATGTCAACCAGATGTTCCGAATTCTATGACCGTTTGCTTGCTGCCACTGCACCGGGGTGCACTAGCTATAGTGTTCTAAGACCTTTTACAACACATCCCCGGAATTCCTTCTTTCACTCATGAAGATTTGCATCAACGTCACCCAAAACCTGTACTATGGCATCTGAGAATCACCTCCGAGTCGGACCGTTCAGCCGCCCGTTGTCATTATGTGGTCCAGCCTATAATGAACACTGAACAGTCCTAATCATTGTGACGAATGTCTGCTTTGTACACCCGACTCCACCAGATTCCAATGTTCCATGGCGGTCAACTCTTGTCCCAGCTGCGCAGCATCGTCAGGGTCGATCTTGACTCTATGGATCCAGCAGCGGCTCAACGCCATGAACAATACACCTTCACTGATATGACTTCAAACCAGGCTATCGTGAACAATCAGGCGACCTACCCAGAGAACAAAACATTGGTCCTTGACGCCATTGAGTACGTGCGGACCCTTCACCGTGGTCCAGCTGTAAGTGCGGTAGAAGTTGGGGACCGTTTACGAGAGGCCCTCGACGTCGTGGTACGTACTAACCATTGACTAATGGAAAGTGCACTAATCAGTCTTTGATCTGGGATGCTCAGACGGTTCGCATGGCCAAGCTCGTATACCCACATCTGACTGGCAAGGTCCATGCACAAACATCACCTAGCGTGTCAAACGACACTCAGAAGACGATTGTGCACGCTCGACGCATCGTCAACTTGTTCGAGGCTCATGGAATCCCCAGGTCAGGAATCTAATCCTTCCCCATCGATCCATTCGGCTGCTTATAGATTGTCAGTGCCAGGGTGTGTATCAAGATACCAGCTACGCCGGCGGGTATCACGGCGTGCCGCGTTCTTTCATCCCCAAGCCCGGATGTACCTGCGATCAATACGCTCGCCACCTGTGTCTTCTCTCTCCCGCAGGCACGCGCTGCAGCTCAGGCTGGGTGCACATACGCCGCGCCTTACTTCAATGGTTTGCCGATCGCCTCTTTGCGCCTTTCCTCTCGACTGATCGAGACATTCAGAACTCCGCGTGCACTTCGACGAGACGACGTGGGTGAAGTACGATAATCCCGTTCGGGAACACCCCATGTCGCCCGTCATTGCCTCAATCGTCGCTGCATTGAAGGGTTCGAACACTCTTGTCATGCCCGCTAGGTGCCTCTCTTTGCCTAAAAATGTTCTCGTAGTGGATCTGCTAATGACATTGATCCGGCAGTATCAAGAACGTCCCAGAAGTGCTCGCACTGGTTGCTCTCCGTCCAGACCATATCACCATCTCCGCGCCCCTCCTTGATGAGCTCGCCGTCCTTCCAGCCTTACCAGAGGCGGACCTCGCACATGTCACCTCAGGTAAGTATACATCTGGCTCATTACTCTGATCTTATAACGATAACGTGCAACAGAAGTCACAGACGAGCTTGAACATACCGATTTTCTTGCAAATGATGGGGCAGCACTTGCATCCGCCCTAATAAATGACCCAGATGTCGAACGTCGTATCCAGGACGCAATCAACCTGTTTGCAGACTGTGAGTTGCAGGCGATGGAGTATGTGCGCAGTGGGGCACAGACGTCCGGTGTGAAGTGGGATGGTGAAGCTTTGTGGTACTAGTCTTCCCAACGTGGTCCACAATTCATAATCCGTTGTATATTCCCTCTTAGCTCAGTGGTAGAGCGCGTCACTTGTATTCTCACTGAATATGACGAGGTCAGTCGTTCAAGCCGGCTAGGGGGAATCAAATATTGGTGGTGATCCTTTTTTCCTCTACATCATTTCTCCGAGAACCCGCTGTTGGTCCGAGGTTGTGATGTCGCTAGATCCGTGTAGGATCTTTGCAGGGATATGGGCCTCTCCTCTGTGCTCTGTAGTAGTCTGTATGTAGTCCACTTCAAATCTAGGAACAAGATAACAATATGCATCACACCACGTTCCAAGGCCAAGTCATCTCTCACGACAGTATTTCTAGGTCCCTCTTAGCTCAGTGGTAGAGCGCGTCACTAGTATTCCGACTGAATATGACGAGGTCAGTCGTTCAAGTCGGCTAGAGGGAATCGGATGCACTAGAGGATAATCTACTTTTTGGACCTCTTGACACGAGCTTTTCTTCCCCATTGAGTCTTCGAGTATTGCACTATCTCTGGTGATTCTTTCGCGGAGTAGCCCATAGTAGCGGGAAGTGTACCTATAATGGATATGGCAGTCATTGACTATGACACACAACTTGAATGTCTGCGCATGCATGCCAATCACAATTCCCCATCGTCAACTCCATTCAAAACAGCACATCTAAATAGCATATATAGTACGGACAAGACTAATGGAACAGCATGGTCAAGGATGTATGTAACTAAGGACTCTATGATATCTGATATCGGGTTTATCATCAGCGGTTGTGTTGTGGGTTGCCAATGGGTATGTCACTGTGTGCGTGTGCGCTTGGGATATTGGAGGGAGAAGCATTTGGGCGGTGATGCAGCGGCTAGGGGTGGGTTGCGGGCGCTGGGCTGTGTGGTTCGGATGGTCAGCGTGGGGGAGCGTGGGTGGGGTGGGGGGGCACGGCGCTCTGCCGGTGGCCACGAACGGGGGTCGGGGCTCCTGGGGGCTGGGAAGTGTAGGAGGGGACGTGCAGGCTATACGGTAGGTACGTGTCGAGTGCGTCGGGTAGAGGTACAAAGAGGATGAGCGAGACTTAAGACCCAAAAGAGGAAGGAAGGGAGGGCAGGGTGTAACTAGGTCGATTAGGGATATGCATTAGGGTCCATCACGAGTCCAAGGGATGGGGACAGATAGCACGGAAGATTGAGAGAGCAAGCGAGGATAAAGTCCGAGTCCGAGTCTGGATTTGTATGTGTAGGGTGTGGTCTGTGTATATATGGGGCGAGGCAATCGTATACGGTATGGGTGTGTGGAGGAAAGTGGAGAGCAGATACGCGTGCCTCCAAAGAGGTTACATTCAGTTCATTTGCGCTGCGTCCTTGCTTTCCCGATTCCTGGGAAATGAACGGGGGTTGATCATTTCCCACCGGAGGTCTTGAACATTACGAGTCCACCGAGTGCGATGGAGTAACCAAACACCTGCAGCGGCGTGATCTGGTTGCCGAAAAGAAGGACAGAGCCTGTGATCAGGAGAATGTCCTGCGGGCAATCGTTAGTGCCACGCCACCAAACCACGAGGCGGATAATTTAGACGTCGAGAGCGTACCTTGAATACACCAGCGAGGGTAAGGACGAGTCCGCTGCCGGCGCCAACGAGGAAGACGGCGGCAACATTGAGGAGGAATGCGACGGCCGCGTTGGAAATGAGGATGAAAGGGCCCAGAGTGGGAAGTTCACGGAAGGGGGCAAGGCCTAGGTGTCAAATGTCAGCAGATTGCAAGACAGGCAGGGAGCAAGGTAAAGGCAGTGGCGCGACAGGAGACAGGCACGGAACACCGGGGGGTAAAGGCATGACGGCAGAGATGGAAGAAGAAACGGAGGCTGACCTTCTGTGAAAGGGAGAATGCAGAAGTTGATTCCGGCGCAGACGGGCGCGTAGTAGTGCAGTGACACGAGAGGATCCATTTTGAGGTTATGGAGCAAAATTTGGATAAGCACGAGGCGCGATGCTTCGAACTGGATGTTCGGAATTCAGTTGGGTCATTAATGAAGAGGACAGTCTTTGAAGGGGAGAATACTGACGAGGACAGCGCTAGCCTGGACGAGGAAGCCGCCCAGGTGGAAACGGAGCTCGCCATGGGAGGCGAGCGCGACGCCGGAGGATATCATGCACACTATGAGCGCAAGTTTGCGGTTGGGATCCTGGAGACGGAATGTCCATGATATGAGCAGGATCGCGACGGGTGTGAATGCCTGACGATAAGCATAGCGTGTCAATTTTGTGTTCGGGCTTCTATTCGGTTCACGTACCTTGAGCATCTGGATGTACGAAACGCTGAGGTACAGATACGCCGTGTTGCTAAGCACGAGACTGCCTGAGAAAAGAATGCCGATGGGCAGGATTCGAGTGAGAAAAAGCGTGCGGTCCATGCGCACGTCCTTTGTCGCATCGAGCAGGCGGGTTGTGCGCTGCAGGACGCGGGTGCCCACGGCGGCGAAGGTCAGGTGCCAGGTGACGGTGAAGACTGGGTAGCGGAAGTGGAGCGAGTTGTAAAGGTAGTTGTTGTAGATGATCACAGAGGACGAGAGCACGATCCAGATGGGTATTATCGTGCTCGCTGTGAGGCGCTTGGGAGCGGGCGCCGCTGAGGCCGGCGGGGGGAGGGCGTCCATGGCCTCCTTGTCGTCGAACCCAACGAGCTCGAGGTCGGTCTTCGCGGCGGCTGGCATGGTGGTGGTGGTCAAATAACAAGACTCTTGCGGGCTTGACGTTGACGGCGTCGGATGCCTTGAGAATTATAATATCGGCCCACGTGCCCGTCAACAATTTCTTGATTCCGGTCAGGACCCCGGACTCTCCTCTTCGACTCCGAGTCCCAACATGTCCAGTCTGCAGGGCTATGTCGACCGTTAGTCCTATCTCGCCGCTCTATGTTCTTCATTGACGCATAACTTAGGTCGCGTCCTTCTCATCCTCCAAGACGGCCGCGCTATCGTCGGCACGATGGCGGGTTATGACCAAAAGTCCAACGTTGTCCTTGCGGACTGTAAGGAACGCGTCTACAGCACCGACGAGGGCGTCGAGGAAGTGCCTCTGGGCCTGTATCTCGTCAAGGGCGACATGGTGTACGTCCGCACGCGTCGTTCTCGTCTTATGGCTCTAATTCTCAATCTACCGCAGGGTCCTGATCGGCGAGATCGACGAAGCGCTTGACGCGGCAGTCGACCTCTCCACCATCCATGCAGAGCCTATCCCACCGATCCGGTATTGAGCGCCCATGGGACAGTGCACGTTGCACAAGTCGCCAACTTCTTTCATTTGGCCTTTGGTGGCCCACGACACGGACCCCTGGGACGGACGAGATACTTATGCACTCTACCATGTTATCTTCGCGTGCGGAGGGGCGCCGGCGGCGTGTCCAGAGATCCAGCAAAATCAACATGTCCCCCGGGCGGATCTCTGAACGTGAATGCTCGACTGAGGGGATGGATGCAGTACCCACGGTTGGAGAAGGAAATAAGGGTTGGGTTGGTAGGTTACCCTGGCGCAAGTCGTTGTACCAGTATTATAGACCTGCTTCTTTCTGCGGTATCGATCGCTCGTGTGTTCAAAACTACGAATTGCAGACTGCCTCTGGTCCGCAAGTCTGAAAAGGTATATTTCCGCTTACTAAAAGCCGCTCTGAGCTCGCCCCCCAACGGCGGCATATAGGGCCTCATAGTTAGCTGGGGGGTGTTGATAACTAAACAAAGCTAGTAAAGATAAAAAGTGGCATGGAAGCATGGAATTCCCTCTAGCCGACTTGAACGACTGACCTCGTCATGTTGAGCAAAGATAAATGATGAATACTAGTGACGCGCTCTACCACTGAGCTAAGAGGGAGATATTTGGGGTGCGCAGTCTGCCTGATTCAAGCTTGAGTCCCAAGTACCTCTGAGATGGCTCAAAGGCGGATTGTCTCAAGAGTTATTTGCAAAAGTATAGGAACCACCTAAAATTTACTTCATCTGCCAAATGCCCCCTAGCCGACTTGAACGACTGACCTCGTCATGTACTCAGCATACGAGTGACGCGCTCTACCACTGAGCTAAGAGGGCTGTTGTGCGAGTCTCACACTGGATACCCATCACCAGCAGCGCACCTTCAGGATAATTAATAATATTAATCATTGATGCGCGAAATAAATAAACTTGCACTTTCCAGACCAGTGGGTTTTCGTCTGGACCTCTTCTGAAATGGCGCCTATGAAGCTGGCAATAATAGGCGGCGGGCCGTCCGCATTCTACGTCGCGTCTCGGCTGCTCTCTCTCGTTCCACAGACGTCAACAGGGACCCCTCCGCTCCGAATCCACATGTTCGACCGCCTGTGGGCTCCACACGGGCTGGTGCGCTACGGCGTCGCGCCGGACCACCCGGAAGTCAAGGCGAGTCTCTTGCACTCGTAGACAATCGTGCGCGGCGTGCTCGAGTGCAAGTTCGTATCCCGCCTGTCGCCCGTCGTGATCTCGCGAGTAGCAGAACTGATGTTGCTTTTGTAGAACTGCACACATAAATTCGACGCGGCTGCCGAGGACCCCCGTCTCAGGTTCTTTGGGAATGTGGATGTTGGGTCTGGGGCGGCGCCGATACCACATACGCTGCAGTTGCCCCTGTCGTCTGTCTTTGCAAACTACACCCACGTCGTCTTCGCTACAGGCTGTACCCTCCCCACCATGCACCCCTCACTGCCACCCTCCCCGTACTGCGTCCCTGCCCTCTCTTTGGTCCACTGGTACACCCAACACCCCTCGGCCCCACCGCCTCCACCCCTCGAGCGAATAACCCACGTCTCCCTCATAGGCAACGGCAACGTCTCCCTCGATGTCGCGCGCATGCTCCTCACACCCCCACACGTGCTCGAGAAATACGACGTCCCCCGCCCAGTACTCGACGTCCTCTCCCGCTCCCAGGTAAAGCACGTATCGATCTTCGCCCGCCGCGGCCCTCTCGAGGCGGCGTTCACAACCAAGGAGCTCCGGGTGCTCGTGAACCTCCCCGACGCAGCGATGGTCCCGATTCCCCAGCCCATCCTCGACGAGACGCCGCTGGGCGAGCCGACACGGCAGCAGGGGCGCATCCTGCAGCTCCTGCGGAAGGGCTCGACGAACCCGTTCGGCACGACAGCGAAGACGTGGTCGCTGGAGTTCTTCCGGTCCCCGACGGGCCTGGCGGCGCCCGCCCCGGGATCGGGATCGGGCCTCGCCCGCCTCGCGCTCGCGCACACCGCGCTGAGCGCGGACCACGGCCGCGCCGTGCCGACGGGGGCGACGTCCGCGGTGGCCACGTCCCTCGTCGTCACGTCCCTGGGCTTCCGCGCGGACCCGCAGGGCCCGTTCTACGACCCCGCCCTGTCGCGCATGCGGACTGCGCCCGGGGGCCGCGTGGTCGACCCCGGCGCGGGCGCGGCGCTGCGGAATGTGTACGCGTCGGGGTGGGCGGCGACGGGCGCGCGGGGCGTGCTGGCTGCGACTATGATGGATGCGTATGCCGTTGCGGATGCGGTTCTCTCGGACTGGCTGCCTGGGCCTGATGTGCGCACTACGCCGGTGCCCGCGGGTGCTGTTACTGCTCATCCGGGAGAGCCTGTTGCTTCCGCGGACGCCTTGTCCGCCCCTGTGAAGGTGGTGCTGAACCCGACGCCCCATCCAGAGGAGCTGCCGGTAGAGGTGGTGGAGGGACTTACACGTGGAGTGGTCACCGAATATGGTGATTGGAAGAGGGTAGATGGGGAGGAGGTGAGGAGGGGTGCAGAGACCGGGAAGGAGAGGGAGCGGATGAGGTGGGAAGAGGCTAAGGCGTTTTTGGGACGCGGGAGCCCATAACACTCCCCTTAGATTAAGCAAAATTACATAATTCTAATAGACACCAACTCTCCTCGAAGCATGCGTGGATTTGTGGGCATGGATGTACCGCTCGGCACTGTCAGTGTATCATCAATCGTGGATTAGACGAAATCGCCGGGCCAAGCTGCATTCGAGCAGTATCAACTCATCATCAAAACGGGAGCCACCAGTCTCGAAAACAATAAAACAATCTCTAATAAAGGTAGCTAACGCACAAGTACAAAGCCCAAGCCGATGATTACCTACAGGGATAACCACTAGCTACGTAGGCAATTCAAATTTCCCCACCCATGCACTCTCTTCATGGAATACAACCGCTCTTCGCGAGCCACTCGGCGTCTACCATCCCTTGGCCTGAGGGAATAAACTTGCATCGGAAAACTGCGGGGGCGGCGACCGTCCCGGGGAGCGGGGTGGCTGCGCATGTGGTGTGCCCTCAGGGAACGAGGGCGCACCACCCGGGACGGAACGGGCGGATCCGCTGGGGAACGAGGGGGCGTACGATGGGGCGTAACCCGCATGTTGCGACGCAGACGGCATATCGTAGGAGGGTGCGTAACTGCCAGGTGGTGGGCCTGAGGGAGGCGCGTAGCTCCCAGGCGGTGGGCCCGGGGGAGATGCGTAGCTGCCAGGTGGCGGCCCAGAGGGGGGCGCATAGCCAGCGGAGGGTGGTGGGCCGCTGGGCGGTGCATAGTGCGGAGCCTCGTGCCCAGGGGCATCGCTATAGTACGACGCCGCCTGCCCCGCCGCGGGGACGTGGCTAGGTGCGTAAGCGCCGGACTCGGCGCCCCCGTCGTCGCTCCCGTCGTAGCCACCGCCCTCGCGCCCCTTGCCGTGCTTCTTCTTCTTGCCCCCGCCCGCAGCGTCGAGGAGCTGCGCCGCCTGCGCGACGCCGGGGATCTGGTTCGCGTACCCGAGGAGGGCGTGCTGCGCCTCGAGGCCCTGGGCCTCGGCGTAGGAGCCCTGCGAGGCCGCGGCGCCGCCCTCGCCCGCGAGGCGGATGTTCTCGTGCGCCCGCACGGCGGCTTTCGTGAGGCGGTGCAGGATCTTCTCTTTGCGCTTGCCGAGGCCGTTCACCCAGTTGGTCATCTCCTGCAGCATTTCGCGCTGGACCTTTGAGCTGGATCGATGGAAGTTGGGGTGGAAGCTGGAGGGGGAGCGTCAGTGGGGGGCGTGGTAGGAGGGCTGTTGTTCGTACAGGCACTCTAGGACCTCCTCGGAAAGGGTGCGGACGTTCACTCCGCGGTCGTCCCATGCCTTGATGACAAGCCCAACTGTGTTTCTCTGAAAATAAATTAGAGCCAAAAAGGGTTCAGAAGGTGGGCGACATACGACGACGACCTTCGCGATGTGGCCTGCAGGTTCGTTCAATATGAGATTCTGCACAGGAGCAAACTTAGTGATGGCCTCAATAACAATCCTTCGAATCAAACTTACGAAGTGGTCCTTGCTCAGGAAGGAATGGGTAGGATCCGACTGTCGTAATTAGCTTGTTAGGAGAACTTCCAGGGTCTGAATGCTCGAAACGACGCACCGCCCTGGGATCGTTGAAGACCTCGTACTGATCTTGGCTGTTGATAACTTCACCCGAGATCTCTGAGAGATTCGCGGTAGTTGTCTTCAGGATAGGCTTGAGGAATGGCTGTACGATGGAAGGCAATAAGAACAATTCAAACTCAGTAGAGGAAGGACCTCACCTCGAGGGTAGTGAAAACAAAGACTAAAGAAGAAATTCATCAGGAGCGCGACAAGGGTGATAGTTGCAACAATCATACCAGAAATAGAGTCTGTAATCTTGTCAATAAGCGCTCCCAACCCCGGAATCTTCTCGATCGTCTTCGAGATCTTCTTCACAACTAAACCGGTCATATCAGCTCCCGCACACCTGGAACACCCCGTCTCAATGAAAACACTCACCAGAATCCCGGAACTCCAGCACCTGCCACAGCACCGCATGCAATTCCTGCGGCGTCATATCCTCCGGCTTCTTTCCCCCACCTTGCGGGCCCGCCCTGATCCTCTCAACAGCGTCCATCTCCCTAGACATCTCCCCGCCCTCGCCCCCGGGGATACTGAAGAGCAGGTCCCGCAGGACGTCGCCCTCCGACCGCCCCCGCGAGGTGTTCGACGCGGACCGAGCTTTGTCGATAGACTTGTTCAGGTCCGTGACGGAGGCTTGCGAGAGGTGGTCGGTCGCCTCTGCGGGCACGAGACGCGTCAGTCGGGGATCATGATACTCCCGAAAACAGAGGACGAACCTCCGAGCATGGAGTGGGCGAAGTCGTTGGAGCCGAAGGTCCCTTATAGTATGGTATGTCAGCGATGCGGGTGTGGGTACCTATTGGGGTGAGGCTCACCGGTGACGATGGGCGCGACCCACTGCCCGCCTGGAGCCTGGACGCGCACTTGGTCGCCGACGTGGAGGAAGACGTCGCGGTGCCCCATCATGACGAGTGCGAGTTCGCACCAGTTTGAGTGCGCGGTGAAGTCTTCTAGCGTGTGCAGCTGCGGAAACAATAAGATCAGTGAAATAAGGGTGGTTAGGGTTCAGTGGCTGCTCACGAGAGTGCCCAGGAGTCGATAGGCCTCGTATTCATCCTCCTTGCGGCCTTGATCGCGGTGTTGCCGCCCAAGGTGGATACAACGCTCGAGAAGGCGTCGGACGAGCGCTTTGGATGTGTCCCAGCTGCCTTGTTCTGTTTCACCAGATGAATGTCAAATCGGGTAGAATTTTAATGTTACTTACCATTCGCGATGTAATTCTTCATTCCGGTGCGTGGGTCGATCTCCAGTTCACGGGGCTACAAAAGTTGATTAATTCGAGTGGGGAAAGGACAAAGATGAACTGACGTCGACGGGGGGACGGAGTCCGGGATGGTACTTGCGCGGGTCCTCGCCCTCACCATAGCCCTTCGGGTTGTCGATGTGCTCAACCGGGAGATAGACGCCAATGCGCTCCGGCGTAACCTCGAACTCGTGCGTCGCATACCCGTGTGCCTGTTCCCAAGTAAGTAAGGGTATGAATTAGAGTTGACGGGTGATGGATAGACGGACCATGAAGCCGAGAACCATCAGGAGATTCATTATAGTCTGTCAGGAGGCGTTAGACGTGATCTGCCTCGATCTGGATTCGAAAGACGCACCTGTTGGGGCATCTTTTTGAGGGACGCAATGTCGAGGGCTTGGCTGTAATCGCGTAACCAGTTTCTGCGAAA